GGCAGGAAGGCCTTCTGGCAAGACCGCAGCACAGTCTGTTTGTAAATTGTTTGGGATCCTACCTAGAGAGTTAGGGTCTTGTTGTGATTGCTGTTTCAGTTTTGATCTTCCCAAAGGAGAAGTGAATGCTGTGCCAATTCCAGACGAGGTTATCTGGGGTATGATCAGAGCTGTGGCTTGAGCTGCAGGTCTGCAGAGAAGAACGTTGGTATTATAGCTGGAAGGTTTCTTTCAAGGAACTGTGTCTTGAAAACCTGTTGTAAAGATTATTATAAAGCTAGACGACTTGCCTACTTGATAGGCCAGTACTGGATGCTAAGGCACTTAGAAAAGTATACATTTGAATTATGTCTTCAGGCTTAGAAGGTATTAAAAATTAAGGGTATATAGGCTATGGAAAACACATCCATTGAACCGTGAAAATTTTATGTATTCCTGTTTTATAAAACCGAAAGAAATTGATCTGTGGATACTAAATAATAAATTTACTATTACCATTGAACATTGGCTATTATTTATTATCTTTCAAGGCAAGCAACCTTTTAATATAAATAACATGCAGAAAGACCGTTTCTACTAGTTTTAACTCTGCTTCATGTAGTACATACATGTTCAACCTAAGGATGAAAACATGCTTTATTGTATGTAGTTCCTCACAGCTTTAGTGTTGATTTAAAAAGCTGGGTTGTTCCAAATGAACACAAGGAACAAGACCAATTCAGCAAAAATTCCTGAGAAAATGAGGATAAATTGACTACACAGAGATGATAAAACCAATCCCTGTAGTGCTAAAAGGCATACAAATGGAGCAAGAGGCATTTCGGGCTAAGAGATCATTGGAGATTTGTCACTGTCACGCAACATGATTAAATGGAGGTTAGAAGAACACATCCTAAGGCAAGAGAAACAAACATAACACTTCAATTTGTATCTTTGCCTGTAGAATTCAAGAAACATGTTATTTTAAAGATTGATAGAGAGTTGTATGATTTGAACTTAAAAGAAAGAAATATAGACCCATGGTTTTAATCAAAGAAATTGAATTGAAAATACTGAAATATGGATTTGAAAGATTAGAAATTCCAATTTCTGGACAAACTCTAGACTCCTTTCCTAGGCTTTGTCTAAATTTATTAGTATTTCTTACAAGGAGAGATGGTGGCCTGTTAAATGTCATCAGCCTGTCACAGAAAGATATACTTTGTCAGCCTGTCACAGAAAGTTATACTTAAAGAAAAGCAAATCACAGACTCTGCAATTTTTAAAAATGTTTTATTATAAAGCATAGGAAACCAAATCCACATTTTTTTCAAACCGAGATAAATAAACAGTAAATATCATGCTTTTAATTTTAAATGTATTTTGCCTTTTGCAATAGGATCTGCAAAAATGGCATCCCTAACTTGGAGACCTGCAAAAACAGAACTTTTGAGAATATGGAGGCAGACAGACCACATATTTTGCACACAAATGAAGATCATATGAAAAAAAAAAGAATCACTGGAGACTGAGACAAAACAGCTCTATGAAGAAATTGCTGATTAAGGAGTAGTTTGGTAATTTATTCAGCAGAAAACAGCAAATTAACCCTTAGGCAAGATTGTTTCAAATATATATATATAAATATATACAAATGCACAAACCCAAATATCTTCCCACTTAAATCCAAACAAGCATCAAATTGTAACAAAACCAGAGAACCCTATGGGGCCTTGTGATCTTTTAGAAGGGACATTTCAAAAAATCCAAGTATTTTTTTTGTCCTGTACCATAGAAGTTGACTGCTAAAGGGAGGGTGGGGGAGGAGGGGAAGGAGAAGAAAAAGCTTTTACTATATTGTCATCATCCTTTCAAAAAGACATGAATATTTGTTGTACTTGAACTCAGGAACAGTCTAATGAATGAAGCAAAGCCACTATCAGACAAGAAAAAGCTCACCACATGCAGATTTTGCATGTCATGTTGGTCCTGATATAATCAAAGAGAATATTGCTTTTGATTTCAGTGAGAGCATGGTAAACTTTTTTCATTTTATACATGTCCGAAGCAGAATAACTGCAAGCTACTTTCCCAGATGGGCTTTATTCATATGACTAAATCACAAGGGGCTATAAATGACAAGAGTTGTCTCTATACTCTCACTGGCCACTCAACTACTTTGTTGCTTGTTTCAGGAGTTTTATCTTTTCCAATAGCTGAACTGTGCATCTTGCCCCACACTTCTGCAATATTTTAATATAACAAAATTACTTGTTAGCAACCTGGAAGAATTTTTTTAAAGTTCTTTCAATATTTATATCCTTTTGAGGCTTTGCACCCTCTGAGTTGGATCAGGGCTGCCTGTACAAATCAAATGATCATTACAGGAAATATAAACATGCTATTTACAAGTTCACAATTCTTTATTTTCTATACAGTTCTGATGAATATTCTTAAAAATTGTTGCCTAAGCACTGTGTAGAACTGGCATGCTTCTGATATTCACAAAAATGTAATAAAAAAGTAAAATAATGATAAATTGTGCACATGCAAGGATACTGTAAAATTAATCCATTGCCTTAAGCTATGCATTTATGTATTTTTTATATACCCTAACAGTTAGCTTTCCTCTCTACTTTTGATGGGAATATTCCATGTAAAATCCTGTATTTTCTTTAGGATAATATTTCACATTCTTTAAACCTTCCATTAATTTTTCTACTTGACATTCAGACTGCCTTCAATGAAAGAAGGGAAAAACCTCAAAACACAACTATTTTTGTTATCACACTATAAATCCTAGCTCAGGGATTATGCCAATTATCTGATTTACCTCTGCAGAGCAACTAAAAAATTTATGCTTATTACCTTTATCATTCTTCATGTGTTGGACTCAGTTTATTTATGAGAAACCTGTCCTTAAAGGATTTAATGAAAAAGAATATTCACAAAAGTTATTTGTGTCTGGGATTAACATAAATCCATCCACCATTCAAATTCAGTTCATTTAAGAAAAATGGTATTCGGAGTTGTCACCTTGAGTGTTTTAAGAAGAGTTTTAATAAAGGTGTGTGTCTGTAATCATTTTCATATGTATAATGTTGACATTTCACTGCTGAATAACTTTCTACCCAATAGACTGGGGTTGATACATTCCAGTTCTCCAAATTCTGGTGGTGTTGCTGATAATCTAGTATATTTTTGCATCTCTTATTAAAAATAAAAAGACATCCACTGACAAGCACCAGGTCTGGGCAGAATAACTAGATCCACTTGTTCTTTTCTGGAACACCATTGCAGCCACCTTCTTCTAAACCAAACCTCTCCCAGTCATCAAAACTTGTGGTGACTGCTGGGGAGTTTTTGCAGGTTATGGAGTGATAATGAAGTGACTTTGCATCATCCCTGTGTGTTGCTTTCCAGAAGCCCTTCACCTTTTACCTTTAGACTGTGAGAGTGGTGCTGCTGAGGGCAGTGTCATCTTGGTTTGACTGGGATCCACTGCTGAATGCCTTTAAAAGTCATGGGGCCGAATCATCATGGTGGTGGAACGCAAGGAGTAACTGGGGCCTTTGAAGTAATGCCACTTGATGCCATTGAGTTTTCCATGGTTTTGCCCAGCTGTGTAGAACATCCCATTGAGATTGGAGGGGCCACAGGCATCAAACCACCACCCTGAAACCATTAAGACAAAGAAAATGCAAGTGCACTAAGCATTTTGATATTGTTTTATAAGTTTATCTGATTAGCAAATTTCTGGCATTCTCAGGCTTATAAATACTCCTGGTGTAACACGGGTGAGGGCATTTTCATATTTTGGTTTTTTGCTCTTTTGTGCTATTCTATAGCCAGCAGTGCTGGAGAATGCACACTTGTATTTAGAGATGGAAGAGTATTTAGGTCCTAACTCATGCTGGTTTTATACACAGTATGAAATGCAAGAGAAAGAACAACAAAAACAAATAAACTGCTTTGCATGTTTAGACAACATTACCATTCACCCATCTCATGGTAACCTTAGAAAAAGACTGTAATTCACAAGTGTTTTGCATAATTTCACTTGTTTGGTTATTTTGAGCATAAGCATGATTTAATTTTATTTACTGATCCTTTTCTGATGCTTTAACTGTAATTTTTCAATTGCTCATAGAGTTTATTTCTGCTCCCAGGTTAGATGTGCTTAGCAAACATGGGTTATGTGTATGATGGTGCTGCCCTGTTATAGTGATTACAATATTATAGTAATAGATAATGAGTGTTCAGAATGGTGTACAAGGTGACAGGTAGATTCTTCAAGACATGATAAATTTATAAACAAGACTCAGCAAATGAAAGGATTAAATGAAGAAAACAATCATAACACTGTAAGGTTCTGACAGTCAGAATACTTGTGCATATAGGTACATGAGTTAGATGATTACCTGAGTGTGCATTCATTTAGGTGACAATATGGCTAACTTCAGTCAAGATATATTAATTGCATTTACAGTTTGGACCAGAAGAGTGTAATTCAATCCTTGATCCTATTATTTTGAATGTGAAAACCTATATTAAATCTTAAGCCTCCTAATATTGATCTTGAAGCTTGCCAAACACTTTTGGGGCACCAGTGTCATGAGGATCCTCACTCAGAACAGATCCATTTGAAATTCGTACACCTCTCTGCAAAGCCTCTGAGCAAGTTCCCACCTGGCACTTAGAAAACTGACAAATGTCAAATTTATTTATTTATTTATTTATTTTTTTCTTTAGGAAGGGGATTGTAGACTCTTTATTTAAAAGTCTGTAGGTAGAAGAAAATTACTAGTTACCTATTGTTGACTACAAAAAGATATCAAAAAGGTTACTGATTTATATAAAAGTTAGGCTTAGAAAGCTGCTGTCTTTTCTGTGCCCTACCCTTCCTGTTCTTTCCCAGCAAGATGAACCTTCCTACTCATTAACCTTTGAATTCTGTGTGCAATTGCATAGATTATATTTTACTGGGAAGACTGGGCAAGAAATGTCTTGCCCAGATGCTTGTGATTCTACTTCACTTCTCCAGGAGCTCCATTGTAACACTATTCTGAAAAGTGAGGTGACATAGATGTAGAAAAAAAACACAGAACTTTGCTTTCTGAGGGCAAACCAGCAATCTGGTTTAAAAAATTGTCCTGTGAATAGTTGTGTAGGCATAACTGAAGGAGCAGTAACCTGGCCAGTTAGGAACTCAGGAACTTTTCAATCTGAGTTTTCTGCCAAAGAAAATGCATGTGGAGCCATATCTCCACCTTTGTGACTGTTCTGTTAACATGGAACTGAAAATAAACCAGAAATATTTATCAAGTACTCACAAACTTTACTAACAATGACGGATGTTTTGCTACATTTGTGTGACTGAATGCAGAAAATTAAAACTTTCTAGAAGCGTAGGTTTGGTTCCAAACCGTATGCAAAGAAATAGTCATCTCACCTTTAAATTTCTGCAGTAAAGACACGTATACATGTCTTTAACCAACAGTGAAAATGGAGTCAGTGGTTAAATACAGTCTGAATTTTCAGATCTATTTTAAATTGCTGCTTTAAAATGAAATTGATCAGTCAGCTCTCTTGTCTAGATCCCCAAGATCTTTTCTTCCTCAGGTGAATTTTAGTTTGCCACGGGAGTTCAGAGTTTTAAGGAAAACTCCAAATAATGTGAAACTTGGCAGCACTGAGGTTACAGAACACAAACTGACAAAGACAAACTAGGTGACATGATGACTCCACTGAAAGTAGTGGGAGTTTTGCTGTATATCTTGATGGGAATAGAACTTTCTCTCCAAAATTTTACAGGGTATCTATGTAATGTAACAGAAAGATGCGTCATTGATATTACGGAAGACAAAATGAATCCCCAGACTGCAAAAAGCTAATATTGCCAATGTCAGAAATATTTCAACCTCAATGGCTAGGAGATCTATTTGTCAGAAAGATTTCTGCTTGGTTTTTTTTTCATAGTAGGACCTATAGGCTTCGAGATCTTTAGCATAAGTCTTGTGCATCTTTCCATGTAATATGGATGTGCTGAACATTTGCCTTCAGATATGAAGGCAAATCAGATCATAAAGATCAGGTAGCAGCTTTTGCCTTTAGTGGTTAAATGTCACTTTATTTTAAAAAGTTATTTCAGCCTGCACATCACAGCACTGTAGTCTTCCTAGGACTCCCTAAAAACCTTTTTCAAGCCCCGTCGGTAGTGGCAAACAGGTTATCTAGTGAGTGGCTACTGAATTCTGCAGGTGTCACTGTGGGCTGAGACACAGAACTTTAAATTTGTAGTGTGTTTCCCATTCTGATTTCTGGAAATGGATTGAAACTGTGAGAAAGTCTCTTTAGACAATGCATTGCCCTAGCAAATCCTCCATTTTCATCTTATTCAGTAGTTTGCCTTTTATCTACCTTTAATAAAAGCACTTTATGAAGGTATTTTAAACTGTGTCTTACTACTACTGATGTGAAATTGACTGTGGTTAGCCTTTACATCACTGCTTACTCTGTCCTTTGTGTTCAGATCCATGTAATTTATGTTTCTTGTCTTGTAAAGTAATTTCTTAGATTTTGGATAATACTTAGTGGGCTTTTTTCAGAAGTAACACTTCATAATGAAATCTTGAGGGAAGAATTTATGCCAGATAAATTCTGGCAAACTTTTACTTTGATACAATTGACCTCCCTTTGATTACAATGTTATACCTAAGGGGGCAATAACCAAAGAAAGAGAATGCCGTACAGCTGATGCTTTACTGTAACCGGAGTAAAATCTTGTAGAAACTTAAGACAAAGTTAAACAGAGAAAATCCAATCCTCATTTTTCAAAGCTGGAACACAGATGCAGCTGGGTTCTGTTTATGGTGGTGGGATGAAGACATGGCAAGCTGTATTAGTTACCATTTCATCTTAAAGGAACAGCAATAGCATAAATGGCCTTTTTGGGGAGAAGGCTTCAGCAATGTCCTACTAAAATCTATGTTAAAAATGGAATGAAGAAACACAAAACTTTAGAAACGTTTTGTGAGGACCTGCTCAAATCTCTTTTCACAGATTTCTTCTAAATAAATACTTCTTTCAAAATGAGTTTTAATGAGCAGCTTTTTTTTAATTTTTTTTTCTCAACTATACTGTTCTTCTTAGTGAGACTGTATAATTTTTTTTAAGATATTTCCGAACACTACATTAAAATCTCAACTTTACCTTTACTCTGTCTTTCTTTTTTTCAAATGTTCTTTTTTCCTCCATGCAGTTATTTCTCTCCATTCTTACCTGCAGTCCTCTAAAAGCTCTCCATCCCCCATGGGGCATCAGACTATCTTCCTACTGCAAGTTTCAGCACTAGAATCCACATCTCTGAATGGATGCAAATATTTTTTCAGACAACTTGTATATTGGGGGAAAGAGGAATGGAAGCAGTGATTTTCTTAGGAGCTATGTGGAAACAGAGGAACACAAAACAGAAGTTTCTGAAAGGGATACCTATAGCACTGTCACTGCAGAAAACACCAAATAAAGCAGCTCCGGAGCTGTGAGACAGTCTGACCCATGGAAAGACTCCTAGTAGTTAGATGTTGGCTTATTCCATGGAGTGAGTTCACATGATTTTCCTCCCATGAAAAAAATTTTTTATTTTTAATTACAAGGTAATGGCCTTCCCAAATAAGTATCTTCTCTGAATAACAGTAAAAATTTAACCTCAAAGATAACTTTTAGCAATTATTTCAATGGGATATTTGAATTCTGCATAAGAATCATTAAGGGTGGGTGTTATGAGAAATTATAACAGAAGCAGTATTTTAAAGTGACTAATGAAAAGGTGAAGAGTCTTTCATGAGAAGGTTAAGAGAATTTTTATTCAGAAACAGAGATAGTTTCTTGAAGTTGTTGTGATCATGAAGTCACTAATTGCTTATTTGAACCGGGGGTAATTTAGTCTTTTGAGGTTAGTAATAACTAATAATTTGTATAGTACAAGCAGCACTACTGTTTCTGTTTGCAATAAAAATCCTTAGGTTATGAAGTGTTTTGTCCAAACAAAAGATAATTTAGATAATACATTGGTAAGCTGTTAGAGAGTTCATCTATACAAATAAACCTGAATCCTTGCTCTAGGCACCTGCTCTTCTTGAGCAGTTAAAGCACACTTACACTTTGTGAACTCCTATGCTTTGGTCTTTAATGTTGATATTATCACTGGGAAGTTGTTAAATTTACTGTTAGCTCTTTTAATTTAATAAATGTATTTTGAATATTTCAACCTACTTAAACCAACTATCACAGCATAGTTCAGCTCCACAGACCTGCTTGTACTGTGTCTAATCATCCAAATATGAAGGCGTATTTAGATAATTTCCACAAATTCTTGCAAAAAAATTACCTAATAAAGGAGAATTGCTCAAATGGGTAATGATAATATAAGAAGAAAACCACAGTCATCTTTTACAATGGTTTTCTAAAGTCACAAGTATAATTTTTATTTGACAGAATATTCTTGGTCAAAAGCAACATAAAAAAGGCTTTTGTGTGCCAAAGTTAACAGCTTTCCTTTTTTGGCTTGTATAAATAGTAATTATGCATGGATGTATGTAAATTTCTTTGTTAATAACCTAGTTATCATCCATTCTTAGGTGTACTGTAATTCTAGTGTGAACTGGGAACTTGTT